GGCTTCGATCCGAAAACTGCATTAGCAATAGTGATCACCCCTGGATTCTGGCTGCTCAAGGCCGCAATGGCCACCGCATTATTATACCCCACATTTTGCTGGAAATGAATGAGGCCTTCAGGGAAAACAAACACGTCTCCCTTTTGAAGTGTCTTGGTGATCAAGCGGTTGTCGGGATTACTTGTCACAAAACCGACGTAAAGGGAGCCTTCAAGTACCGTTAAGATCTCGGTGGCACGAGGGTGGGTGTGGGGAGGGTTCTGACCACCAGGAGCGTAGTCTATGCGGACCATGGAGATGCCAAGAGTGTTGAGGCCTGCTATCTGTGCTACGTTAACTTGGGTAACCCTCGAGCCTAGTGCGTTGGCCGTGTTGCCGGGCTTGTCGAGCCCAGCAAAGAAGAAGTCATTTGCTTGTGCCAACTTTGGATCCTTGCACACCTTGCCATTCACAAACACTGCATGAACAGAAAAAATCAGTGGACATTACCTTAGAAAAACTCGTATTTCAAAACTACGAAACCGTAAACCCCAATATGAAAGAAGGTGGTATGGCTTTTGGAAACTAATATGACACAACTCAACGATGAAAGCGATAATGGAATTATACTTAGATCTAAACCTGTGCTTGCAGAAAGGAAAAAGTATTAGGGATGTTTAAAACGTTTATCTATGATAAAAAAGGTCAAAAGCATCCCTAGCCTTAGAAGTGAAATTTGCCGGCAAAGGGTCGACCGTACATCTTATTTGAAATTTGACAAAATTTTGCGATCCATAACATAAGGTATTTGTGACAATTGTATACAAAGGTAGGGGTCTCAGTATATGAAAGTCATTCTTCTTCGGAGCTATATATGTAAGGCGGCAACCGTACTTGCGTAAGTAAGACTACATATTTCTACACCATCTATTTTAATTAAAATAGTATAGATTTTGTACGTCTTATTAGACAATTAACAAATCTACACCATTCAACTAAAAATAAACGGTGTTGGCTATTACAACCTTACCACTACAATTACGTTAGCCTCATTATATAAACTATTTCCTTATCGTAAATTCGTAAAGGCACTCACATTGGCTTGCATTGTCAGCCACACAGAAGTCTTGCAGGGGACTCGGATCAGATGCATAGGTGAGGGAGGCAGTGAGAGAAAGGAAGACGACCAAAAACAGCTTCATTTTTTCCATCTAAAACAACTTTGAAATTGAATTAAGAAGAAGTAGTTGTAGATGTGAAGATTTAGATCAAGAGGAGTACATATTTATAATGGGACTCTGGGTGTTTGGTCTTCAAGTTGGGTCTTAGATTATTGGATTTTTAATGGTTAGTTATTGAAGAGGTCTTCGGGGGAAGGGCAGGCCATTGGGCCATTTCAAATAACGCGTTTGAATCCATTTATTTCTATTACTTAATCCAAACACCATCTTATCCATTGACGAAGTTTTGTCCCAAATATTTTTATATATTTTTTAATGCTAACGATTTGCTGCTTCCACATGGGCATATTGTGAATTTGCTCCCATGGGCAAAAAGCTCATATGGCTTTTTTTTTTTAGAACCTAAAACTTAGGGATGTAATCTCTAGAACCTATTAACCAACTTAAAAGAAAAGGAACATTTAAATAGGTTTGTCAACATGCCTAAAAAAAATTATCATCCCAAAAAATTAAATTAAAAAGGTATTTTGCCCGACGGATTAGTTATATAGTGTTATACTCCAGCAGGATCATAATATGTAGGCCCTATTTGTATGTTTTAATTTAAAAGTATACCTAGGGTGTATATATAGGAAATGAGCATTAAGAAAGGAAGAGACAAATGAGAGAAACAAAGTAGGAAAAAAGGCATGCCGCTCAGCCACGATCGAGCGAGGAAAGTCAAATGTAATCCTTAGTTGCCTTTATTATACCAAGTCTGAATTGGGGACTTACAACTTACAAATTCAGCCGTGGGAGAGGATAATATTTAGAGAGAGAGAGAATTGTTTATCTAGTTTGAAGAAAACAAATAATGTATTGAGTTTTACGTGGTCTTGC